GTGTGTGTGTGTGTGTGTGTGTGTGTGTGTGTGTTCCTCCTGCATTACCTCTTTAAAGCTCCCTCCTCTGTCTGTGGAGCTCCGTGCTGCCTTCCTCCATCACACTGATATGCACACATGATGGCCCTCAAAGATAAATCATTTAGGAATCATTGTAGCCCTGGCCCCTCACCCCACCCTGCTCCAGCCCCTCACCCTGCTCCAGCCCCTCACCCCACCCTGCTCCAGCCGTAGCTTTAGAGATGCTAGCTTCAGCAGTGATGGATGGAGGCTAAACGGTCCAGGCTGGGAGGCTCTGGCAGATGCCTCCAGCGGAGCCTGCTGATGGGACTACATTAGCCAAAGTTGAACTGGAGTGAATTAGGGGAGAGCAGCCATGCGTGTCCATGCATCTGACTGTGCCTCAAGTACAAACAGTGCTGAACACACAGCCACAGATGCAACATGAACACTGATACCTTCCCAGCAGCCCCAGTATTTATTAGCATTTAGCACTTTGAAGAAATGTAGAAAGAATTTAGTGGAGAAAGAATCTGAACCGTGGTGCCAAATCTGGGTTTGTGTGCTGGGTGGAAAACACAAGTGTGGGCAGCTACATGCTTTTAGCACACATGCTCTGATTTAAACGGTGTGACCACAGCATGCTTTGCACTTCTTGTTTCACTTTTGATCTCCTTCAGGATGCAGAGGAGTATGCCGAGCTGCCCGTCAGACACAACGAGGACCAGCTGAACAGCCAGCTGGCTCAGCAGCTCCCCTTGCAGGTCAACCCCCACTCCTATGATAGCGCACACACCAAGACCCACCTGCTGCTGCAGGCCCACTTCGGCCACGCCCAGCTGCCTTGCAGCGACTACACCACCGACACCAAAACTGTGCTGGACAACGCCATCCGCATCTGTCAGGTAGCCATCACTCAGCAGCTGACACAGAGCTTCCTTCGTGTTTTTCACTTTAGCTGTTACTCTGTGTTCATGCAGTACTTGGAGAAAAAGGGGTTTTTGCTGTGCTCTAAATGATCTGTGCAGCACAGTTTGTGATTCCTCCTGCACCTCACGAGTACACCTGCTGTGCTCTCTGCACTAAACCACAGCCTGGTACTGAGGGCAGTAAGATAACTGTGTGTGTGATATACTCCTGTAGCTCTAACAGCTACACGGGCAGGTTAGCTGAAGTCTACAACACATTGAAATGAACTGCAGTGGTGAACCATGTCTGCTGTCACTGAACAGTCACTTGTTGCTCTGCAGTAGCTGCTGCAGGGAGGTTGTACTCAGACGTGTCTGTGGTGTATGTGACCGTCCACAGTCCTGATGGGCAAACACACGGCTGATCTTATATTTGCTACACACATCCATTCATTCATTTTCATCAGACGAGCTGATAAATATATGGATTTGATTATTATTATTTATTCTAGCAGTGACAACACATTATCAACTGTATCAATGTTTCTTTGGAATATACAAAGTTTACTTCTACAAATATGTAAAAGCACCGTGTCTGTCTGTGTGTAAGCAGGCTACAGGTGTTAGCACCCCTCTTACATCTTTATGCTGAAGAATGTGGAAGATTTCATTTAGTGTGGTAATAATCCCTTCCAGCTGATAAAAGCAGGAGTTGAGCTAACACAGTGCTAACACAATGCTAACACAGTGCTAACACAATGCTAACACAGTGCTAACACAATGCTAACACAGTGCTAACACAATGCTAACACAGTGCTAACACAGTGCTAACACAATGCTAACACAGTGCTAATACAGTGCTAACACAGTGCTAACACAATGCTAACACAGTGCTAACACAATGCTAACCCACACCTACAGCCAAATGGTGGTAGCTTATATTGGTGTTGAGTGATGTGCTGCACATGCACGGTGCTCACGTGTTGATGGGGGCTCAGTGCTGTAGATAATGTTTAGCATAAGGGGAATGTGAAATATTAGCATGTGATTTGTAGCCGATCCATCTCATCAATAACCCAATTGTCAGCAGTGTTGGGAAGGTTACTTTTAAAATGTATTCCATTACAGATTACAGAATACATGCTCCAAAATGTATTCTGTAACATATTCCGTTACATTACTCAATGAGAGTATTCTGAATACTTTGGATTACTTAATATATTATCATGCTGTTTACAGCAACGTGAATTTATTACTATTACTGAAGGTCCGCGACTCCGAACCGTAGTAAAGGACCTCTGGCTAATACGTCGGGTTCGTGTCGGGCTCGTAGCTGAAAACTAGCTTTACTTTGTTGTCTGGGTCACTTTGCTAGCGAGAGACAGAGAGAGGCGTTGAAAGGCTGCTGCAACAGGACTTATTGTTTCAGAGGAAAACACGAACAGAGCGTACAGTCGAGTCTTAATAGCTTACTTACAGCTGGGCTCGTCAGGCTGCAGTGGTTATTATTATATTTACATGCTTCCAGCTCCCGTTTCTGCTCGATGACAGCTCCTACTTTTCCTTTTTCTCCCTCCTCGCTCACAGACACATAACGTGTATGGCAGTCCATTCTCCCTGCAGCACGGACTACACTGCCCATCAGGCTACATGCTTTAGGGCGATGCCTGTAGCATTCTGCCTGTTAGCTTAGCACAACAACAACAAAAAGGCCTCTCTCACCCAGGAAACACAGAGAGAGAGAGCGTCACCCTGTAACCATGGCAACCGTAACGCTGCCGCCTGGAACAACAGAACGTAGCTGTCGAACCCAAACAGTCCTGACCCGCGACAAAATGAAACAGGAAAGTACCGCAGTGTATTCCATTTATTTCAACAAAGTAACTGTATTCTGAATACCACCTTTTTAAACGGTAACTGTAACGGATACAGTTACTCATATTTTGTATTTTAAATGCGTAACGGCGGTGCATGTACTCCGTTACTCCCCAACACTGTCAGACGTTAGCTGTGCGGCTGGACCCTCGCTGTGTGGCGTCTGCAGAGATCAGCTGACAGTCTTTAACATTAGAAACCTAATAGAGTCGGTAACGCTGACAACAATGAAGCCAGTGGTGTTCATTGAGCTCCTCAGTGCGTCTGTTTGGAGTGAAGTGGCGGCTGGAAGCCATTGTCCACAGCTCCGCTGGATGTTTGTGTGCATGTGCTTGTGATTTTCCACGGTGTGTTAGTGCAGCTCGTAGATGTGCTCACTGCTTTGCTGTCCTGACATTCTTCTCATCTCCAGCTCCTTTATGAGGCTTTTTATTGTGTGAATGTAGATTTTTATTGATGCTTATTGACACATAACGTGAATATGTCGAATGGAAAGACAGACTTGCATATTTATTTGTGAGTCTGAATGATCCACCCTCAGTTGAGTGGACGCTTCCCACAGTGATCCACTCTGAGTGTGACACAGAGTCCTGTGAGCTGAAGCGTCTGCGTTATGTTAGGACAACAGAGTTGGGTGGAGGTGGGTCTGTGGGCTGCCATGGCTAACACCGTCCATTAATGCAGTGCATGTAACCTCATTACAAGCTGATACACTGAAGCGGACACGTGCTGTTAGCAGCACCCGAGTACCTCGCTGGTCTCCTCGGTGAAGCCAGACCTGGACCCAGGCTCCACGTGGACTCTGATCAGGCTCCTCTAACCGAGTGCCCACAGGGCCTCTGATCAGCTGGTGATGTTAGGTGAAGCCCTGCTAGGACTTTGGCCACAGTCTGCTATTAATGTCCTCGATCAATCATTTGAATCCCCTCTGTGAAGCCCACTCTGTGGACTTTGTACTCAAAGTGTGACTTTGCAAATGAAGATTAATAACGTTTGTGTTCAGCCACCTTAAAGCCAACCACAGAGTGAAGGGAGCTGCCGAAGACGTCAGGAGACGCGGCTGAGTGCGTTTAGATTCTGTTCCACTGTCACACCAGCTGCAAGCCGAGAGATGAAAACCATTGAAACATTTCAAACATGTCCTGTAGTCATTTGTTGTGTCACATAGCTCTGCTGGCTGACGGCTTCACGACTGTGTTTATGTGCCAGGAACTGTCTTCTGTGTTTGCTTCAGGCAATGCTGGATGTAGCTGCCAATGAAGGCTGGCTCGTCACAGCCATCAGCATCTGCAATCTTGTGCAAATGATCGTCCAGGGCCGCTGGCTGCACGACTCCTCCTTACTGACGCTCCCACACGTAGAACAGCAACACCTCAGCCTGTTCAGGTAAATCGTCGTTCTGCTCGCTGTGCAGCGTGTCCTGCTTCAGTATTTTGGGAACGAATCCTTCATCTCAAGTAAAAAAGCCTTTAATCATCCTAATGTGTGACTGTGAGTATAGTTAAGGATTCAGTGTTGTTTCACAGTTAGAAGCTGAGAGTGAAGATTAGGTCGAGTTTAGAGACCGAGTCAGAGAGGGCAGGCTTGGACCTGTGCAGGGACGGGGTAGTGGACATAAGGTGGAGCTTGCAGGCAGGAGGGAAAGAGGAAGAGCACAGAGAAGCTCCGTGGACGGGGTGAAGGAGGATGCCGGGGACAGGGCGAGGCGGAGGGGGTGATGTACCTGTAGCCTGAAGCTGTTCCCACCTTCAGGTGTAAGTCTCAGTAACACTGTGCAGTCACTCAGGTACAAACACGCAGCCTGCATTTGGACACTTGTGTCCTTTTAATGGTAAGAGTCAACCTTGTCTCTGATGCCTCCTGTTTTAGGAACAGGGGAAACAGGAAGGGGCAGGGAGGTTTGAACGAGCCAATCGAAGGACTTCCTGAGCTGATCGCTGCCTGTAATGGAAATGAAAGCGTCTTCTCTGCTATGGTGGCCCGACAGCTTCATCCGAGTCAGACTGCTCAGGTAAGGCTGCAGAAATGATTCGTCTAAATGTGCAAATGGAAGCAGCCAGTCTGGATTTGCTGCAGAGATGATGGAACAATCTAAGCATGGCTGTGCCCCGCGTGGTCCATGCAGATCACACACAGCAGTGTCACAGCGATACGCCAGGATCCCCGATCACAGCTCCAGTTTAAGTGCTAATTGCAGCGGTAATGAGAGTGTCCGGGCACGGCAGCAGGCCCTGCAGCTTCACCCAATCGCCGTCTCTGCTGCCCCCACCCTCGCCACGTTTACCCCCAGCTCCCCGCCGGCCTGCAGTGTGGCGGCCTCTCTAATTAAATAATTAGATGTGCAGCAGCGTTCCTGTCTGACTGTCTCAGGAAGAGTAATCCTCACATAAATAGCTTTTCCCCTCCGTGCCCCCCCAGTCAGACGGCCGCACAGCCTCCTAGCTCTGCTTTGTTTTCATCCCTCTGTCTGCGTTTGTCCTCTGCCTCCCTCCTGGCAGCTTCTTTGGGTTGAAGCAGCTGTCCTGCAAGCAGCTAACGAGGCCCGCCGCAGCCTCGGCGTCACAAGTCGCCATTTTATTTCTAAGCTTCGCTTTCACACGTCTGCAGCTTTGACTGAACTCATGCTGCAAACAACAGGTGATTTCCTGTCCGCTAAAACATATATCAGTGTAGATAACATCCAATCATTTCCACTGCTGGCTAACATGTGACTCCACTGTACAGCCTGTCAAGCTTCTCACCAGCTCTTCCAATGAGGTTCGAACACAGCTGTGTCACAATGAGTGTGTGTGATCGTGTGTCCGTTAGCTCTGATAAAGTGCTGCAGATTCAGGATGCCCTGTGTGTTACACAAACAGCTTGTGTTCATGGTAAATCCAACGTTCCTCAGGCGTGGTCGTTCCTGAGCCATCTCCCAGTGCTGGAAGTTGAGATGAGCATGAAGGGCTGGTGGGAGGAGAGCCAGGAGCAGACGGAGCGTCCCATCCCTGCAGCAGGAGCTAACCTCAGGAAGGGGAGCAGCTGGCTGGACGTCCACGCTGACCAGGAGTATGTTCTGCAGGTGTCACTGAGACGCCTCAATCTGGGACAGCAGAGGGTCAGTATCCACAATATTGTCTAACAGGCGGCTGCTCCCAGTTTGAACACAGTGGCTTATTTAGCAGCTGAGCAGACGCTGACCCCAGAGGCTGCTGGGACGAGCTTTAGCTAATAGTTCAGGTAGTGCTCAGTACAAGCCTGCAGAGAGCAGCAAACTCGGCCTGCACAGAGTGATGACAGTCTGACTTTCAACAGTCACATATTGAATGTGTAGCTCGTGAGTAATGAAGTGAGATGCATGTTGTCAGCCTCACCTGTCGTCACGCTCACACCTCAGACGTTACAGCGGGGCTGGGCGGACCCCTCCGTCGAGGAGACGTTAGGAGAAACCCAAAGTTTCCTCTCCGAGCTCTGACACCAGAAACCTGTCGTCTCAGCGTGTTCTGGAGGTTAAATCCACAAAACACAAGAACAATATAAAATCCAGTCAAGCATAGAAATATACCAGCACTGCTCAATGAGGCTGAAGAAACCAGCCCACACAGGGACTCTGCTCTCTACAGGAAGTGAAGCATAGAGTCTGATTGGATGCTTTATAAGTCAAACTGAATTAAACTGGTGGTGCATGCTAGACGTGAGGTCATGCAGTGTTTCCTACCTGCCACGTTAAGGCAGCCCTGTTTTAATAATGACATCCAACATGTGAAACTCCCCAAACTTCAGAGTGTGCACAGATTTTCTGTGAATGTCACGATGTGTGTTGTTCCAGAGGAGGCAGGACAGCAAGGCCCAAGCTCCCAGGTTCCCCAAGGCCAAGGACGAGGGCTGGTTCCTCGTGCTGGGGGAGGTGGATCGCAGGGAGCTGCTGGCTGTGAAACGGCTGGGATACGTGCGTAACCACACGGCCGTGTCCATGGCCTTCTACACCCCGGAGAGGACCGGAAAGTAAGTCTGGTCTCCCACACACTGAGCGCACTGGTCTGTAGGCAGAACGTGAAATACTGTGACATTTATGTAGCACGTTACGAGGCTGCAGGCTGTTGCACGGTGCCTGCAGGCTGTCAATGCGATGCAACAGTCATGCCGATCAGTCCTCGGGCGCAGCGTGGACTGTGGAGGGATTAGTGGTGGTAAAATGGAAATTACACTGAGTCCAGCAGCTCACTGCTGGTCGGCTCCTCTGTGCCAGATCACTGGCCTGCGCAGTGTCTCAGCTTCTCCTCATTATCTTTTTAAAAGTTTATGTAGAAGCAAAGAAATGAACGTGAACTCAGTTTCCACTCTGTCGCTGTCTCAGGTGATTTTCAGGCCTGTTTTTCCTCCTCTCAGGTGTATTTACACGCTGTACCTGATGAGTGACAGCTACCTGGGTCTGGACCAGCAGTATGATGTTCACCTGAACGTAACGCCTGCCAGCATCGCTGCACAGGTCAACAGCGAGGTCTCACATTCGGATCTGTCCCTGGGCTGAGGAAGTACCTCTGCGTCACGTCGGCGACGTCTGTCAGTCACCGCTTTGCTGACCTCGGAAGTGACGTCGTTTCTTTCTCACGCACTGTGGCTGTGCTCACTGTGGTGCACCGGTGCCAAGGACCGCCTCATTCTCATTCATTTAACTTTCAATTGGTAACATCCAACAAGAGTCTGCTGCTGCGCTGTTCTTGATTGGCCGGATCTTTGTGTGTGGTGTCAGATATATAAGCATGGCGGCACACGTTCGAACAGCAGCTGTGTAGCTGTGAAATGTAGCTCTGTGCCTGAATTGTAGAGAACATCGTACAGATTATACCAAAGCACATCACCGAACACAAACAGGTTGCTGTCGTGTTTGGGAGGTTGTGGGCTGACAGTAACACAAAGCTGTGTTAAACGTGAGCACGCTGTGGAGCTTCAGCTCAACAACAGGATCATACATTTCCCTGACTCCGTGCCTGTGTGGAGGTGGAAACGCAGTGTGGCAAACCTGTGGGTGAGAGATTTCTGTGAAGGGCAGAAAATGTGCAAATCGTTTTGGATCAGATGTGGAAGTGTTTGTTTGGATGAAGTGCTTTGAGTTCAGGTGTGTGAACAAAGCTTCCTCCTCCCTCACCGCTGCATGCTTCAGAGGCCCTGAGCCTAACGCTGCTGTCTGTGGCCTTTGTGTGGATGTGTATGAACCCCGTGAGCAGCACTGTGCCGCCAATCATTAAAGAATTTACATTTGGTTTTGAATAAAGTGTTTTGTGTGGCTTCAAATTGTAATTGTGCGTTTTTCATTTCATTCACTTGTTTATTTGGAGTTTTCGTTCTCAGTGATTGTT